CCCCCCCCCAACCACAGATGACTGAAGTCCGATAACGAACACCGATACATCATTTCGCCCCCTATTCTCGCAAGGGAATAAGCGAGAAGACCGGCCGCTCAATGACCTCGTCATCAGGGTCGCGGTGGCGCCGGGTCCGAAGATATCTCGGACAAATCCGGATATCGATGTTCGTGACGGCCGGGTGGAAGCGGACTCTATTGTGTTTCTTTGTCCGTGTTGACGCTGATGAAGAAGGTGAGCAAGCGGCGTGCATGGATAGGGGGGCCGACTTCTGGGGATTGTGTTGGCAGTGGTTGTAGATCGGAGAAGAGATGTCGTTCACGAAGAGGTTCTTCCAGCTGTTGAAGCGGGTGAGTCGGTCGAGCTCGAGGGAGGACAGGGCCTCGAGATTTACGATGGGAGGGGAAGAATCCTCTTCCAGCATTGGACGACGAGTGCCGCGTTCCGAAGAGTGATGGGGCTTTGAGAGACAGGATTGCAGGGGATTGATGATGGTGCTGTTCGAGGCAGGGGTTGCGGGTTTGCTGGGTTTCTTTCCAGGCGGAATTGCAATACTGAGATGAGGAGGCGCTGGGGTAGATTGGGTGGCTGTGCGAGGGAGTCCGAGGTGAGAGACGGGGGTTTGAGCTTTCTTTTTAGGGACAATGGCTCTGGGAATGATAGTGGTGTGTTCCTCGTGTGTAGCATGTTGCTGCTGATCGATGTATCTTTTCAGTTCTTCGATTACTTCGTCGAAGGGGGAGGCGGGCTCATGTGTGAGGTTGTTGGGGAGAGAAGTGTCGTCGATTTCTGGGTCTGTAGGCCAGACCTCCGAGAGCTTCTCGTCAAGGGTCCCGGTCAGGAAATCATCTGTGTCGATAGTGGAAACGCTGAAGGTAGGGCTGGCGCAGGAGGTTGTCGGACTGTAGGGGAAGGGCGTGAGTTCGGTCTCATCGTCAGAATCTGGGTATGGCTCTGAGAGATATTCGTCAAGAACAAGATCTAGAGCACAGCTTGGCTGTGAGTCGAACGAGTTGAAGTTAGAGTCAGCCGCTGGCTTGCAAACATGAACCAATTTTGGAGATGCGGTCGAGAATGCAGTCTCAGATGTTTGAGTGGACGGAAAGTCGGGTGAGTCCGAGGGATAGTAGCGGTAGTCATCAAGTATATCATCCAGAGAGTCCCAGTCAGAGTATTCAAGGCTGGAGACAAGGTCAGGAGGAAAGAGAGTATCGTCTGGTGTATCAAACTCGAGGGTTGCCAGCTCCTCCTCTTTGATGGAATCGGCCTTGTTGATAACGAAAGTGGAAGGCCAACGGTCCATCATGATACTGTCGTCTGCTAAGGCATTGGAGGCCCTAAGCGAGGCAACATGTTCACGAAGCTCATCAGGCGAAGTCCCAGTCTCGCATTTGACGTCAGTCAGTCTCTCCTCCTTCTCCTCCTCTTTCTCTTCCTCTTCCATCTTCTCGTCTGTCGAGTGAACCCCAACATTAACATCCTGCTCAGCCCACTTCCGAATACCCCCAACAAAGGGCACCAGAACCCACTGAAACCCGAGCACCAGACACCAAACAATCTTCCTGACGCCAAAAGATCCATCCGCAGGAGGGTTTGGGGTCGCATCCGCGCCAACATCTACATCAACTTCATCTCCATCACGACCATAATCGCCATACCCGGGCACATCGCCATGAACACCATCCCACACATGTGGAAACGGAGGATAAGGCCCCAGCACGGCCTCCCAATCACCTGCAATGGGTGTCTCGACGACGACCGTGTTGTTTGTTTCGAAGTGTACGTTATGGTGCATGTGACTGGCTAGATAGCTGCCGCTGAGTAGGAGCCCTAGTGGTTAGCTTTGGGTCTTCGGGCAATGAGGGGGTACGTACCATGCTGCTAGGAGGATGCACGCGCGCATTTTGTCGGTGATGATGCCTAGGAGGTCTAGGGTGGTGAATAGCATGATGCTTGTGAGGGGGATGAGCAGGTCGATGCTCGGTGGGGAGAGGGAGGGGCTGGAGGATGCGAGGGGGAACTCGGTGGTGGCATTGTTGGTGTATGACATCTTGGGTTCGGGTGTTAGCTTTTGCAGGAGGTGTGTGTGTGATTAGTGGTGTGGTGTGGGGTTGAGATGCTGGAGGAGGGGAGGGGGCCTTACTTTGTAGATGGAGAGTTTAGATATTGGATGATGAGGTTTTGGCTAGATGGCAGACAGGTACTGTTAGTTGTTATTGTTTGAGGACACGCTCGGGCGAGCTCTTGATGAGGGGGTAGGATGAGATGAAGAGGTTTATCGGATGATAGTGGTTGCTACCAGGATGCTTACTTTGTATGGAAGCAGGTTGAAGATTGAGTCTTTTGGGGTTCAGAAGGAACGAGAGAGGAGGGAGAGGAAGAAAAGCTCGAGAAGCGAACCTCGTGAGATGATATACCCATGGTAGGCGCAATCCAGTGAATGCAATTGAACGTGGTTTGGCAATTCATGTTAGTATGACCATGATAGTTATCCTCATTCACTGGGAGACGGCCATTGAAATGATATCCACCACTACGCCCAAAACCGTCCGAGACAAGGCAGAAACACTCCTGCTTACATCGTATCTCGAGCTCTCCTGTGCCTGGAACGTACAGCAGGGGCAAGGGTCAAGTAGAACCCTCTCTTCAATCGATATACTAGACACATGGACAACCAGCCCAGATGGAGAAACAGAACCACGCGCTGTACATAAAAATAGACATTACGGACTAGCCGACTCACGATCCAAAAGCGCAATCGACGCTAGGACCTCAATTCCAAGATAAACCGGGGGAAATGATTCGGAGTAGGTAGAAAATCAATCACAATCTCCACCATAACATAAGACAAGATACAGTACTACAAATGCCGACTCCTCGACCCAGACGCAAAGCGACTCCACCAACCCACTCTAATCTATCAACAAGTAGACAAGCAGCAGAGCCAACTATCATACCTTCAAATAATACACGTATTAAGTATAGCATAACACATAGACGCCCATGGAAAAAAATAATGATCATCAACAACAGCAGCAGTGACCACCTCCCGCATTCCAATCTACAATATCGCTCCCATCGAATCCGCATGCTGCGCCGACGCCGTCTGCTCCAACACAACAGCATAATATTTCCCTTCCTCCGAGGTATCATGGTACGGCCCCGCAGCCACAATAGCCCTAATCTCGAAGGTCAGCGGAACCCCATACCCAGACTAAGAGGCATGCGTAGACTAAGAGCCTCAAACTTGAACCGGGGGGGGGGGGGGGGGGGGGGGGGGCACTCACCATCCCTTATACTTAGGCTGGTTGAAGATCTCCGTAAACGCCTTCAGAATCCTCAGCGGCAATTCCAGGATGGAGGGTAGGTCCGGTCCATCACCGCAGATGGGGAGGCCCAGTTTGTTCACGGGCAAGTACACGACCTCGGCTGTTTGGGGGTGGCGCGCCTCTTGGAAGATGAGGAGGCGGCGGGATGGGGGTGGCGGCGGAGACATGGCTATGCGATAAGATATTGGGGATGGGGCTTGTTCTTTCAAGCAGATTGAAGGAAGGATCTCTCGTGAGGGTGAGAGTCTTCGTCCTCGAGAGTATGGAGTTGACAGGGGTTTGGGCAGGTGACCCTCTTATCGCCGTTTCACAAGCTCGACACAAGAGAAAAAAAATTCTCCGTCTTGCGCTTGCTTTAATCGGCCCTCGTTGGGATAAAAAGCGATGCGCACGAGCAATTGAACGCTTCTTCTCCCTGTACAGAGAATGAATGTAGTCAGGCCCTTGTCGTGTCAAGCCTGTCTGCGTTGCTCCACGTAGATGTTTGTAAATATCTGTGGCTGAATGTCAGACGGAATTATGCGATTCGAGATGCGGGGCAAAGGAGGCATCAGAAATTGAGGAGAATTGACACCAACCAGCACACAGAGTCCAGCTCAGTACGGGATCACTCAATAGGTGTCCAGGGCTCAAAGAGTAATTCCAAAGGGCTGATGATGACAATGGCAGTAGCCCTCATTGCCATAATGGGATTATTTACTTTCAGGGTTGAATCATGTTGAATGTGGCTGCTGCGCGTGGCGCGTCGGAGATCAAAGCATTGCGAAAGCACGTGCACGGGTGGGGGTGGGGCCAACGGCACTTCGTATACAATTGTATACAACGCCTGTTTGCTTTTGAGTATCCAATACCTGCAACTATAGTATACAAGAACAGAGTCTGCATTGGCCAAATCGAATATCGAATATCGAATATCAGGGTATCATATCCAAGGCTTTCACCTGGATTGCTTTAACAGCAAAACGCAAAAAAACAATAGCACTGTCCACCGACCCCCCATAACTATTCCAGAATTGTTTTATTTACTCCTTTATACCTATATTTAGGTGTCCAATTCTCCGTCCAGCACTCGTCGAGCGGCGTCTAGTCGTCGTCTCAACAGCCGCACCTCTTTCGGTTCCGGCTGCGCAGAGGTTGTAATCGTCTGAAGCTCCGTACAAACATCCCCCAAGCTTTGGAATAACTGTTCCAAGAGTTTCGTATCATCGTCATTCAGCCCCATATTGCCATTGGCTGATGCACTTGGATGGGCGCTGCGTACTGTTGACACAAGCGACGACGCAAGGGACGTTGGGGTCGCGGCTCCTGTCATTGCCGAGTCGGATCGTGGTGAGACTGTGGGGGCCTTGAGAGACAATGCGCTGTTTACTCGTCGACTGGGCTGTCGGCGAAGAGTACGAGGGTTTCCTCCGGTTTCCAAATCAGCTCCCTTCGAGCTGTCGATGCCCGGCGTATGGCGACCTTTTAATTCTAGACAGGACATTAGCACAAGTCCGAGCTGTAAGTGAAACACAGGAACCTACCATCGTTGAATTTCCGATCCCAATAGAGAACGCTCTCCAGTCCATCGTGGTTGCCCTCAATGGCGGTTTCAAACGTCGCAACGGAAGAAAGTGATGTTGCACTGTTGGCCCGGGAGTGACGAACGGAGCGGTGGTCGGTTGGGCGCGTGGTTTCGACCGAACTGGTCGATAGATTGCTCTCACGGCGCGTGCGAGCTTGGCTATAATTGCCCAGGGCGCTATGCAGAATGAAGTGCTCGTAGTCAAAAGCATCCTCTCGCTCCTCATGAGGTTTGTCCTGAAAACTTTGTGGTACGGGAGGGAAAGCCTCCAACGTATCATCCAAATTATCATCCACAGACTCCTGGTCGAGACCAGATGTCAAAAAGCCGCTCTCATCATAGTCGCCCTCTTGTGCATCCTCATAAAGACTCTCGTTCACTGACTGCGCATCATCGAATTCGTAGGCATCATCTTGTTGATGATGCGTCTTCCCCGGGGATGAATGCTCTAGAGCTTGTCTGTGTGTTTCGGCCTGTCGAGCCTTCACGTCAGGCTCGTATCTAGCGGAGCCAGATTCGTCGCTGAATTGATTTTCTGCAGAGTGGGCCGGTGACTGACCCTGACCAGCGCTAGGTCTAAGATTGCCCTGGCGGCCTCTTAGTTCCAAAGCATTGGGGTACCATTGGTCAGCAGCATTCAAGGGACTCGGGGTCCGCAGGCTCTGCATACTACGACGGCGCAAATTATCCTCCTGGGTTTTGACTTTCAGACTGGAAATTTTGATGTGAAGGCCCTTCATCTGATTGTGCAGGTCGCGAACTTGCATTTGCGACTGGGAACGAGATGGCGGGTCCTGCGCGGGATAGACTCCGTTGGATCCCTCCGTGCTCGAGCTGAGGTTCTCAGTCTCCTCCTCGGTAGATATGCCTAAGCCCTTGGGTGACTCAGAGGATGCTCGCTCCTTCACCATTGTTGGTGAGCGGGCCGATGGCCTCTGCATGGACGAGATAGAAGCCCGGTGGGTCAGATACGACCGCGAGGGGTCATAACGGAAAGTCCGCTCATCACTCCTATACTTGGATGCACTAGTTGATCCCAAGGCACTGAGCGACCGAGATAGACTGGTGTCGGATGTGGGAAGACCTGGGTGCGCCGCTGATGGCAATTTGGTCTCACTGTAGACGCGCGAATGGCGGTTGCCCGTCGCATCTTGGGATGAGGTATATGTTGTGCGCGGACGATGATTTGAGGCCCGACGGTCCGCGCGAGAAATCGACTGATACAGGCCGCCGACGGGTTGGCCCAGCCCCAGATGCGACTGTCCCACAGGCGGCGTTGGCGAAGTGGGAAGCGACGGAGATACTCGCACCGACGTGCGAGCCCGATTCAGGTTCCCTTCCATAAGCTACAGCAATTGTTAGCGATTGTTTTCATTCTTAATCCACAATCTTCTCTATCTCGGACATACCGTCAGGCGCTTCTTCGCGTTCTCGAGGATCCTTTCCGCCTCGGTACTCAGTACGGCCGATGACAGCTCCACTCCCGACCCATCCTCCTGTGTACTTTGTACTATGCGTGGAGTTTTATCATTGCCATCGACAGCTTCTGTGGCACTGTCCTCCAGCTGGTGCTGGTGGTCCTTGGCGCCGCGACCGTCCTGGTGGCCTTTCGTCCCGTCCCAAGACGAGTCACTAGCAGCACTAGCTGTCGAGCTAGACGAGCCACTCCATGTCCCCGTCTCCCTAGTTTCCAACTCGCCCGTCTCGCGTTGCGAAACGGGAGACCCTCCCGCCCGTCCTGTTTGCGAAACAATTCGAGATGCACCAGAGAACCCAGGGAAGTGCGCATAAGATGACGAAGAGTCCTCCTCTCCGATATCCGACAGGCGACGAGCATCATAGCCCTCTTGCAGCCATGTATGCCGTGGGTATAGTTTGCTCTGGGGGCGATTGCCGTAAGACAGAGCAACACCCGGTTGCGCGATTCCCTGAGTCTGGTCCGTATTGTCATCGAGAGCGGGACGCCTTGCGTAGAACGCCTGCAGGTTGGATAGTGAAGGTAGGTTGAACGGAGGCGACGGGGTGGAGGATTCGCGCTCGTTGGAGTCAAACGGTAAGATCATGTCGGGGTTGGATAACGTCGGCGACGGAGGTATGGGCGGGAGATGTTGACGAGAAGGGTGACCAGCGTCCTCCCCGGGGGACGAGGTGACCATCATGCTTTATGCCTGCTTGGCTGACTGTCCGGGTCAATTGAGGCAATCAATACTTTGGTACACGACAGGAACTATTCCGCTCAGGCCCAAGCCATCTGCAACCAGGGAAGGGGGGTGGTTGTGCGAGTTTGGTTGCACTTTCGACGGCCCGGGCGGTGCAGATAAAGTTGGGAAATGAAGGGATCGATGTGTACGTCCTGCGAAAGACTGTTGCTGGGGAGGGGAATTGAACGATGCAGTCGCAGATGAGATCTGAGACTAGGTAGGCGCAGGCTTCTCGGCGAATCAGATGAGCGCGGGGGATATTATATCGCAAAAGCAAAACAAAAAGAGATGATTAGATATTAAGAATTAGAATTAGCCATAGTAGAAGGAAGGTATGAAGGGAGCACCAGCGACGCGACAGGGAACGAAAGAACGAAGCGAGCGAAGAGAGGAGCGAAAGAAGAAGAAGATGAGAAGGAGAAGAAAGAAAGACGATGGAGGCGAAGGAAGGAATTAATTAGATTAGCCACACGCCGGACTGACTACTCGATGCTGACGGAGAGGGGGCATTGTTGGTTTCTACTTGTGTCCCTTTTTTTTTTCTGGCCAGCCCCAATCAGGCAGGGATCCGTCGCCGTCACGTCCTGGAGATCTTCGGCCATTGATTAAAGGAAGACTGATAAGGAGGTCTTTGCACGGGATATTGTTTCAATGGAGAGAAAGCAGCAGAAGATGTAGATGTAGATGTAGATGTAGATGTAGACGGTGAAAGACAAGCGAGATGTGATTGAGATCAAGAGAAGTAGAGTCGATCTGGGGAAAGAATACAAGGGGTGGGTTGGATATGCATAAACGCCCTCCCGTTTGCTAGACTAATCATCCTCGTTCTGGCATTCGGCGGGTAGCGACAGGATCGAGGGACTCGAATCATTCGATCAACAATCAACAACAGTCAACAGATCAGGTCATGGGAATGAGTGGTCCTCTTTTTTTTTTTTGCCGATACGTAGTAGAATGGATACTAGAATAGAACTGGTTAAGAGTCAAAGACTCAAAAAAAACAAACCAAATGAGTGCAATGGCAGGAGAGATGGAGATCGTCATTTAAAGATCAGCCAATGTTGATATCTGCACCTGCTGGTTCCATGGTTCCCCCCAGCAGCTTAAGCCCTTTTCAGCGGCAAAGAGACGTCCGAGGTCCCTGCGTTCGGCTGCCACCACGCCATAAGTGTAAGGTAAGGTATTCGACGGGAAACTACTAGGTACCACCCCTGAAAGGCTGAGACGGCTCTCTCCCGTCTCAATGCATCACTCAGTGCGTAGTCAACTATAACTAGGCCTGCTTTGCACTCTGACACTACTTGCACCTTTGTACTACTATCTCCTTAGCAATTGATAATTGAGCCGGTCCTTGGAGCAAATGCTTATCCACGGAAGTCAAGTCATTTCTCACCTAGCAAGTGAAAACATATTGTTGTCTGCGTGCTCTTCTAGCTGCGCTCAGGGGTTTTTCTCCGGCCTCACCCAGGAAAAACACACTCAATTCTACGGACTCATCGCCTATAATGCATGCTACTAATGGACTGACGTTGCCTCGGGACGAGTCAATTTGGAACCAAAAAAAATGATTATCGAGTACTTTTTGGCTTCATTGATCCCAGTAAATTTATCACAGATCCTGTACAAACGAAGAATAGACATCTCACGGTATAAAAAGAGAAAAAGAAAATAGTATAGAAATAAGAATAGAACACCCAAGAGATATGCTTTTGCAGTCAACCGGCCGATATTACGAACATGTCATGCATCCTGAACTGGTAGAAATTGGCTCCCCTGCGGACTCTACCGGATCTTCTCCAGAAGAATCTTAGCACCACTGCTGGCAGGGCTGCCCTTCTTGCCATCCTTGGTGGTCTCTGAGGAGGCCTTCTCCAAGGCCTTCTTGTTCTTCTTCAGCGTCTTCAGCAGGTCGGCCTTCTTCGCGAAATCGTCCGACTCCGCAAGAGCCACGACAACGAAGGTATTCGAACCGGTGGCCCACGACATGATCTCGGGCTGAATCTGCTCGTACAGCAGATCGTGGAAGTTCAGTGCTGGCTGGACCTTCTCGATCTTCTTCTCCGCGCTGTTGAACCGTCCACCCTGGACAAGCGACTTCAACAACCGGCCCACGAACGGGGCCTCCTTGGTGTCCGCGCGGGACTTGGCCGCCTCGGCGACAGCAGCAAGCGCGGCGCTCTTGTCGCCATCAGCGTCGAAGAGGACCTCAGAGATGAACTGACAGCCGAAGCTGGTCTCCAACAGGGAGTCCGCACGAGCTGCGATCAGCTCGAGAACAGTGGGGGAAGCGGCCTTGACCAGCTCCTGTCTGCGGACCTCGGGCTCCTTCTTCGACGTTTCTGCGCGGATCTCGCGGATCTCCTTCAACAGCTCATTATCCTGCTCGGGCAGAAGCCACTTGGCGCGGTCGCCAGCGAATGGATACAAGATGGGGATACGAGCCGTCAGGTCAGTCACTTGCCAGAGCAACTCTTCGTTGCGGGCTTCAGCGTCCATTCCTTGGTTCAGAAGCTCGGGGAAAACGAGTTTCGAGGTAAGCTTGGTATCATCGATGACTTCGTAGGCTGCCAAGATGACCGTGTGTCCATTGAGGTCACCTGCCATCATCTTGATCGTGTCGCGATAGAAACGAGTCAGAAGCTTGCGGTCCTTGGCGTTCGAGTAGGCAAGAGCCCGAGACATGACTCGTGAGCCTGACTTGGTGAAAGCCAAGTTCTTGACAAGATCGCCCTCTTCATCGCCCTTCAGGAGTTCAACAAACTCATTGGCCTCCTCGCTGCCGACCTTCACGTTGAGATAGTACTGAAGCATAGCATCGTGTAGTATAGTGAAACCCGAGGTCTTCTTCTGGATCAGCTGATTGATGAGCTCAAACAAAGAGTGCATGATAGGTCCTCTCTTCTCGGGGTTTTTGCTCAGGATCTCAGAGAGCTCCGCGGTTCCATCCTCCTGCTTGAAGATAACGAACTCGGGTCCGTACCACTCACGCAGAAGGTTGGCCCTCTGCTGCTTCGTCGCGACCGTCCGGTAGATATCGTCGAGAATCCAGGATCCCTCGGGGTGTCGGATGAGACGCTTAACGTGTCCGTAGAATTCGGGGATGATCAAGTCGCGAATCTCACTGTCGCCGTGAACAATCAGCTTGCCAACCAAGAACTTGGCATACCGGCTCTGAGCAAGCTCACGGTAGCTGCCCTTGAGCTCTGTTGCGATCTGTTTCCGTTGCTCGAGGTTGGCATATTTCAGAGCGGTCTGGATGACACGGACCGAGTCGTGCTTGAACACAAAGTCCTTAACACGGCCGGTGATGATCTCAAACAGCTCCTTGATGAGCTTCTTCCGCTGCTCGAGGGGGACGTGGGATTTCCGACGCAGCTGCTCCCAAAGCTTCTTAGACCGGGCGATGATATCGGCGTTGGGCTTGGCGGCTTTGCGCTCTTGCTGCATCGCCTTCTGCTTGATATGCGATTCGCGGGATGTGGACTTGTCTGCACAGTTGAAAGAGACATCTGGTTAGTTCCCAATAGCTTCAAAGCAGTAACCTCTGCAAGAGAAATCCACCTACTTGGATCCGCCGCCTTCGCGGGCTTAGACTCCTTCTCCTCCTCCTCGTCCTCTTCGTCGTCTTCCTCAACACCACCCATATCAACGTCCTCGTCCTCCTCAGCCTCCAGCTCATCCAATTCATCAATCTCCGAATCCTCAACATCATCCAAATCGAACTCGTCGTCGTCTTCGTCTTCGGATTCTTCCTTCTGCACCTTCTTGCCCTTCTTGCTGCTCAGGTCTTTCTTGTCCTTCTTTCCACCCTTGTCGCTACCCTTCTTGAAGTCGGACTTCTTCGCCGACTTCACGGGCGCCGATTTGGAGCCGCCCTTCTTCGTCGGCGCGGACACGGCAGTCTTGGTCTTCGTCCGCTTGCCATCGCGATCGTCGCCGGTATCGACGCGGCGCTTTACCCCGACCATGATGTGTGGAGATTTGAGATTTCGTCAATGGAAAAGAAAAATAAAGAAAAGAAAGGGTCAGGAATAGACTGGTTTGGGCGGGATCAAAGAATGAAAGGTGATATAGGCCGCCCGCGGAGTCTAGGTTTTCCTGCTTAAGATTATCGCCGCGGCCGCCCGTCCTACTTTTTTTTTTCTTACATTTTTTTTGCCCGTTCGAGGGCGGTCGACCGCTGTTTGTCTGGTTTGCAGGTTCACTGATAAGGTGGGTGTGCGGGATAAGGACGGAGCGGGCAGCCATCCTTCCCCTCTCTCGTCTGTCCACATGGTTGATTTTGAGGACAAGAGGTCGGAATAGAATCGTAGCATTGACGGAAATAGTCATATAATAGAAATCTTAAAACTATGTACATGAATGATTATCTATTGAAGTGGACAGTAAAATGCCAGAATAGTGAAGTTCGACAGCATGAGAAAAACGCAATGCTTTCCGTTCGTTCGTCGAGCCCGCAAGCAAGCGGGGCTGACTGACAGCAAAACTCATCGACGAGTCCCACGAATGGAGCGAATCAAAAAGCAAACCTCGGTCACTGGCAAATCAATCATCCCAGTGGCCCCCGAGTCATGGTATATTTGTTACAGAAATCCTGCGATTTGTATCATGCATCATTAGTTTCGGATCCGGCACTCGCCGGTGGGGACTTGAAAGGGCCTAACTCCGAGCCCACGTTGCTCTGTCCTCGTTTGCGGCCAGGGATGTGAAACCCCAGAGACGAGGATTTGGTGGTGCTGGATGAGTGCGAATCGCTTGTCAGATCGCCGAACCGAGAGAAAATGCTCTTCCTCTTGGGCTTAACCTCGGTTTCGTCGTCGAGACCCACGTCCTCGAATTGCTCCTCCTCCATCGATTCGGGCTGTCTGCAGAGGCCTGTGTGTAGTGTGGATGGCGGTGATGTCATTCGAGAGACGCGCGAGTCGAGCGATGTCCGCGAGGGCAGTGCGTCGGTGTAGCACACAGGGGAGCGGGCGGAGATGTCCTGGCATACAGGATATTAGTCCTGAGATCTATAGGTGCGGAAAGTAAGTGCTGATTGTGCGCAGACTCACGAAGGAACGACGGTAGGAGTCGAACGACTCCCGCGATATCGAGAATGGTTCGTTTTCATCGACAAGGTCGCGATGATGTGAGGATTTGGGTGAACCGGGATATTTGGGCCAGAAGCTCTGTTTCTCGGGCGGTGATGGCTGCATCAAGAGCAATCGACTTAGCAATCATGTAGGATCAATGCGCGACATGGTCAATGGGACTGTAGAGTCAAGTACCGGAAGATAAGCGCCATTGGCATCGACGACTGTTTGCAGATAATCAAGTTAGCAGGGATAAACCTCCCGACCCTCCATGCTCGTTCAATGATTTCATACCACTCAGTTTATATTCCGGTGGCTCTTTCTCAAAGCTCTTCCTGAAACTCAGAGGTGTTGAGCGCTGGCCGTCAATTGATAACCGGCTGGTAGTGCTGGTATTGTCTAGGGTGGTGACCTCCCCGCCATTGGATGGTGCGGCGGACTTTCGAGACAGGAAGTTACGGAATGGGGCCATTTTGAGGGAGTAATTAAGGAAAGCAATAGGGATGCGTGGCGCAAAGCCAGTTGCGTGGGCGCAATCCAGAAAAAAAGAGGGCCGAGAAAGATATAAGGCTGGAGGGAGCGTACAGCGCAAGCGGCAGTGGTCAGATCCTCTTAAAGAGAGAGTTGGATTGGATGTACTGTAATAATGCACGAACACTCGACCCTCACATGATCGGCGGCCTCGGGCGTCGGTTCATTTTATGAAAGGGTGGTTCATCCCACCTGCAAATGGATCAACAACATGAGAAAATTCTATTAATGAATCTGTGGTTGGGGCCCCTCTCTGATCCCCTGGAGAATGGTACTCGTACCATAGACCGTGGCTACGTTTGCCACCGCGCCATGTGCCTGACTTCAATCGTTATCATTAGTGGAAAACTTGGTCGTACGTATATCATCATCGTTTAGTCTGGAGTTAGCCATGCCCATAGCGTCATCAGGAGGACTAGTGAACTACCAACTGGCTTCCCGTCCATTTAAGTTTCCGGGATGAGGAGCACTTATGCAGCTTATGCGACTGTAACATGATATATCAGCATAAGTGCAGTACATAAATAATGACGAGCGCCCGAATACATAACTACTATGCTAGGAGCTGTTTCATGTTACATTCTTTAAGTTCAATTCATACATTTAAGTTTGATCATTGTTCATTGTTGTGTCCGGTTTACAAATAAATCATAATGTTTGTTATTTTCATAGAAGTCACTAACCAGCTCGCATGGCTTAGATGGTAAAGCGCAGCACTAGTAATGCTGAGATCCTCGGTTCGAGTCCGAGTGTGAGCATCTCTTCTTTTTGCCAATCTCTGGCTCGTTCTCTCTATATTGTATCCAAGGAGCAATCGCAGAGCTACACAGACTTTTTGAGTTGAGGGGCCTTCGTAGTCACATCTTCATCTTGTCCTTGTAGGAATCATCTTGTCCTTGTAGGAAGGAGAGAAGGAGAGAAGGTCGACAGTGTCGATGAACCTAGAGCAGTCTCAAATTCTGTGAGCAGTTGGACAACAGTACAAGCATACACATCGAAATATTGAAATACCCATTGGTGTTGCGTCGATTGACTATGCCGGTGTTTACCACGGCTCTGGTCGGAGCTTGATGTGCCCTTGAGAAAGCAATAACTAACTATCCGTCATGTCTGGTTTTTACGCGCCCAGATCGTACTGCATCAACAACGCCCTGCTCGATATGCGTAGGCCGGCACTAAATCTGGGATCCCTGGGTGTTTATTTGTATTCATGAAAAGATTCGGTCAATCAATGGCCGGCAATGACGATGGGACAAAGACAGAGGTTCTCTGCGAGTCCTTAACAGGCTGGTCTCGCCGACATGAAATAATGTACCTAGTAGCCATGCATCCGAGGGAGACTATATAGTTCCATTCAACTGCATACCTTGAATCTCCTCCTAATGGGAAGTGCCGTATGAGTAGGTACGTATTACCTGCCGTGCATTGATGTCCAGCGCACATGAAGAGAGTCTAGGCAGGCGCTGCACGGAAGGCCGTTGCTTCCTATCTTATATCGAGCCTGCCTTTTCGTTGAGTGTGCAGTCCACTCCTTCCCATCTTGATCAGGTCGTAGGGTCTTATAACCTCAGCCATGCCTCTCGGCATTGTAATCATCCTCTCCCTCTACAACATCCTCCTATCCATACATCTACCCATCCAGTCGCTCATCCCCACATATCCAGTCATTCAGTTACTCAGACAACTCCTGCTTAGCCATACCTATACCCACACGCACATATACTTCTTCTCGATCAAGGTACCATTCGAACTGTCTGACTCCCAGATCGGTAATGTGTAGGAGCGGGCGTGAGTAAGGATTGAGCTGACATTTCTCTTTTCTTCCCAGTCAACCCTTTCGATCGACGAGCATCATGCCTGGCCTTGCGACTTCGATCGTCTCCGGTGTTGCCGTCCTCATGGTCATCGGAGGAGTTGCTGCGAGTGCCGTTCCTCCTCATACTCAGACACGAAACCTCACGGTGGCCTACCCCGGCGCGCACGGTGACAGTGAGAGCTATCGCTCCCTGCCTATTCTGGATCGAGGAGATGCGGAGGGCTTCGTGGATGCCACCGACGACGAGCTAGACTCGTCCGCGGACAGCGATGCCGCCGTCGATACCTGCTACAACAGATCCCAATGCGAAGTCGGATACACATGCCTCAACAGTCGTTGCACTCTGAGCTGCATTACCGACAGTGACTGCTCCCGTCTGCATACATGTGCCAATGGGACATGCATGGATCCTCGTGGCGGAGCATGCCTTTCGAACAGAAACCGCTGCACTCATGACTATCAGTGCTGCTCTGGCCGATGCGACCGATTTGCCTCTGTGTTCGGCAGCAAGAAGTGCAGAAGCTCCATCAAAATCTTCCCCTGAGCGGATCAGCCTGTGGATCGGACCGGGTGGTCTCCTGTCGTTTGGCAGTGCTCGTTTTTGTTGAATCCTGGATCCTTATTCATTCTGTTATTGATATGTGCCTGTGGCGGGGTTGTGAGTGGTTGGTCTCCCTACCGGAGTAGAGTGTAGGAGTTATCACTCAAGTAATACTATTCCTAATGTGAAATTCAATCGTCACTTGTTGTTGTACTGGACTTGTGGATTGACGTAGCTTAATGATAGTGTATGCGTTGTATATAAATTGCTGTTGATACCATATTTGTTAATCTGTTATGGATAGTCCAGTGGGAGGTCGGCCGTTAAGTCAATAACCTTGCTTAGGTAATTGCCAGCGGGACCGGTGCCTGGTACGAATCCGGGGGTCGTCGTTGTACTCGTGCGAGTAGTCCACGATTGCTACACGGCGCTAAGCAATGGAAGTGACCCTTGAGGGAAGCAATTCTGCAGAGACATTTCCACCCTAGGATGGCGTCACCAGATTACACCGTCCCGTTACAGGGAAGTTGGCAGTTTGGCTGGACAACTACTTTTTGTTTTTGGTCTTCACCACTATAGCGCCCTGCCTTCTATTTTGTTCTTCGGCTACTCATTCTTCTCGCTAGCTTTGATTATTGACTGGTCCTCGGTCTCGGGCGTGAATATTACAGCTATTGACTATTGCAACATATTACTCGAAGTATATATTTCCACCGACAAGAACCGTTCCCCGAACTTCGAGTCGCCGCAGCCACTACCCTGCAAAATCTACACTGAGATTACAAGATCGCTTTCCAAACAGCTATAACATACTGGATTGTAGCTGTTTGAAATCATCACCCAGCACAATCATGCCTGTGTTGACGGGCGAGCGGTCGGAACTAGAGTCACCTTCCGTTTACGTACATCACCCTCACAGAGCGCTCGTTCTTTCCGTCCTCGATTGTGTTGAGAGTGATTGCCCGTGTCCCACGACAGCTGAACCTCTTTCCTAACAAACATGGTGGCAATACTTCTCACCTCTCCCAAGAGAGCTCAAAAGAAAGGCATGCTGCCGGTACTCTCGTTCTGCATCCTTTCCATAGCCCACACAGGTTATAACCACGTTCATCACCAGCGCCGGACACCCATCGAATACACCTCCGAGGTGGCCCCGAGATATCCTGGCATAGCCTAAAATGCGGTTCTGGTTCGGATGGGCACTGTGGGAGAAGCTGAGCTTCGTGAGCTCCCTTGACTCAGAGTAAAGAAGCCGACAAATATGGCTAACGAGAGAGATAGGTACTTGCGGGTCTTCTGGTAAGGCGCTAAGTCATGTACCACGGGCCGTATGACTGATGCAACAAGACCATCGTTCTGATCTATTCATTCTGTGTTCTCGCGTACAACCGAAGGGTGACAAACAAGTACGCTGCTGCCGAGGAACGTGAGAGGACCGAGCAGGCCACCGAAATGCAGAGGATCTTGGCCGAGACAACCGAGATTCCGTTCGGTGCCAGGGCGCTAGAAAAGGGCATCCAAGTCGAAGGCATTTGGACTCCCAAGGAGTATTCACCGAGGCAGTCCATCGTTATGCCGGGAGATACGCCAGAACTCCCCAGTCCCGCACAGAGTCAGCCATCGCTTGTCCCACCAAGTGGCGTCCAGCGGCCAAGCCGATCATATCAATTGGCGCCAAACCATAACCTGCTCAACCCACGCCTTTCCATGAAGATCCCAGACATCGAGCTCGGGGCCGAGGCAATGCGTGTGTTCTCCACACACAGCGCACCGCAGCCAACAATCCGTGCCAACAGTGAAACCGAGACGCCCGTTGACCCAGGGAAAAAGAGACGGTCGAGGGGTTGGTTCAATCCTCGGAATTCCTGGGTAAGAAAGCCGTTCGAGAGCTATAAGCGCATGTCAAAACTTGAAGGTATGTCACGTCAAGAAAGTAAGCTATGTTCGGATGAGGACAGCGCTCACTGTTGCTCAGGGCATCATCGAACCTCATCCGAAAGCTTTCGACGTAGGATCAGCAAGCTGATCGACGAGAGCATTCAGACAGGCTCGACTGAGACATACCAGTTGAGACCCATCAACCAGGGGACCATAGATAGCCCTAGGAATTAGTGACTGGACAAATGCTACACTGCAATGCGTCCGAAGCATGGAGCAGGCTAGTCTGTCTTCATGATGCCTTTGTCACATGTCACCATCAGCAATCATTGTATTTGGGGGTAGTTCATGAGAGCTTTTCGATTCATAAAGCCCGCGAGGCTCTAGGTCTCAGGCGAAGCGCTGGTGAGACATTGGGAGATAAAGCTTATTATAATATGGCATCCAGCAATCCGTCTTACTCAGTATCGAGGAAGCCACTAGACTAGGCCTTTCGCATCTGTAATTGTACGCATGCTAAACCCGAAGTAGTCGGTTGGCCCCGGCCCTCAGGCAGCAACGCCTGATAGGCATCAGTATCGCACGTGACATCGCGCCTGCCTCAACGCGTCCAATTTCCATCACTGTTGAGAGATGAGCAATAAGGCTAATTCGCCACCCTCTCTTCAAAATTGCCAGCGTCCTGGGAAACAGCAGGATCAGAAAGACAGACATACTACAGAGCCCATTACGCTCCTTTCCCCATCGGCCCAGTGAATTCTGATCCAGGACGGCACAACCGATCTAAAACACGCGTCTCGCGTTTAGCCCGTCCGCTTTGTGCATTTCCTAGTCATCTCGCAAGTCGAACAAGTCGAACAGGCTATCGGTTGTCGTCAAACTGAAAGCTCAGGAGAAAATGACAGCAGACATAGAGACTCAAAATGACTACGAGGAAGGACTTCCTGGTCCTGGGGCCCCAACGCCGCTCTCAGCCTTAGAGGTAAGCATCTGGTGGCATCGCGGGATCCTTGGAAGCAATAACGCGGCCCCCCACATTGCACGAGGTGTACTGATTAGTCCTACGAAAGGGAGTTGCGGGTCTAACTGGCCGAGATATCAAACTGTTCGTTGACGCTGGCTATCACACGGTTGAGTCAATCGCATACACGTAAGTCAACTGATAGTGGATTCTACAAGTCATTGCATAGTATCTTCCAAGCTTACTGACAACCGGTTTTCGTGCTTTTCCAGTCCGAAGCGCTTGCTGGAACAGATCAAGGGTATCTCCGAACAGAAGGCTACCAAGGTTCTTGTTGAAGGTAACTCTGACGTGATTCTGACAAGCATTCACAATAACATAACTGACGACTATGTATCCTGCAGCGGCGAAACTCGTACCCATGGGATTTACCACGGCCACGGAGATGCATGCGCGACGAAGCGAGCTCATATCGATCACAACGGGATCCAAACAACTAGACACTCTCCTTGGCGGAGGCATTGAGACAGGATCTATCACGGAGATCTTCGGCGAGTTCAGAACAGGGAAGAGTCAAATTTGCCATACCCTTGCGGTGACCTGTCAGCTGCCTTTTGACATGGGCGGTGGAGAAGGAAAGTGTCTGTATATTGATACCGAGGGTACTTTCCGTCCCGTGCGCCTGTTAGCGGTTGCGCAACGATATGGGCTTGTCGGCGAAGAGGTTCTCGATAACGTGGCATATGCTCGAGCCTACAATTCGGACCATCAGCTTCAGCTGCTGAATCAGGCCTCCCAGATGATGTGCGAGACTCGCTTCTCGCTGCTCGTCGTCGACTCGGCCACTTCATTGTACCGGACAGATTTCAACGGCCGTGGAGAATTGTCCACGCGCCAAACCCATCTGGCGAAGTTCATGCGCACTCTGCAGCGCCTTGCAGACGAGTTCGGAATCGCGGTTGTTATCACAAACCAGGTCGTCGCCCAGGTAGACGGCGGCCCCAACATGTTCAATCCCGACCCGAAAAAGCCCATTGGTGGAAACATCATTGCACATGCTAGTACGACGAGATTGAGTCTGAAGAAGGGACGAGGTGAGACACGAGTATGTAAGATCTACGACAGTCCATGTCTGCCGGAGAGTGACTGTCTCTTTGCCATCAATGAGGATGGAATTGGAGACCCAAGCCCCAAGGATCTGGAGCATGAGTGATTGATGGAGGGGTGCATATAATATTATCTGAAGCTATGAATTAATGATTATGCTATGTATAATTTGTACTGTATGATGCCTCTTGTCGCAAGCACATGGCAAGCACATGGTAAGCACATATGTCACGTAGAGATATTTCTTGGTAGACAACCGGCAAAGGCGGTGGAGCGACTTTTTGGGCGCGTTGCTCCCGGCCGCGCCAAGACCAGTTTTTTGGAGGCGGCGCAAGAGCTGCGGCTTCTGCCCTTCAACTCCGCTGTGTTGCGATACTCTTTCTCCGCTTCTTCCCCAATCGGCCATGGAGACTTGAGCTGACCTCTTTTCAATATCGCGAAGAGTGGTCATATCTCAGTTCTCAATTCCATCATGGCGAAAATCTACAAGGATACTCGGGTCGACCTCCGACCGCACTCCCCAAGCACGGTCGTTAACATTCAGATTCCAACAGAAGCGAGCACCCAAAGCCGAGCTCGTTTCGCAATTTCCACCTTCAGCAGCCAAGAGCTACCGGTAGCGAGAGACGAAGAGGACTTTACCAAGCGATACTTGGCGACACAAGGATCGATTTACTTTCGCAAACGCAGCGTCTACCCCCGGGCCTTCCTCTGGCGAGTTGTCGATGACAGCAAGGTTCTGGAAATCCAGTGTGTCGATTTAACGAAGGGTGGGGTCGAACACCACGAATACAATGTGGCTTTGCGCTTGGAATTCGAAGAAGGCATCGTCCCTTCGGGTGTCGACCTTGCAGACTTGGAGGAGCACGAAGCGTTGAGCGTGTTCGTCCTTACGGCCGACAAGCACTTGCACACCTTGACCCTACGCCCTGAGTTCTTCCGGAGGACGGAGGCGATCGACGAGAATATCTCGGACTGGTGCAAGTCTTATGTTCCGGCGCCGCTGACATTTACGAATCCTCATCGACTACACGCGAGTAGCCCGCTGGAGTTGTTCATTTCTCTTGACAATGGCGCCCTGTTGCGGTTAACGAGGAAGTCCAGTGATGACGGTGACCTCCTCCCAGTTCCTTTCTCACTATGGTATCCCCTAAATTGTGGTTCTGGGTTACAGTACTAACGCGTTCGGTACTTAGGATCAAACTGGACACCGATTACTTTTGACGAGAGGACATGGGGTGCGTCGATCCGCGGCTTGGTCAGATGGCAGGCGCAGCCTTCAATAAGATACAAGGGGCGCACGCTCGATACGAATGTCGCGAACGCCATCACAACGACATCTGACCAGACCTATGTTTTCGCCGTCTGCCTCAATCATACCTTGAAAATCTGGAACCTCGCGACCAACAAGCTAGCTGCTACGAAAGATCTGCTGGACCGTGAAATCCAGCAGCCAGACGAATCATCATATTCGCTGAATCCGGCCGAATCGTCGTTCATTCGGGTCTTCAACATGGAGCGCGCGTTGGATGGAGGCTACCGCTATTATGTCGTCACATACTCGCCCTTCGAAGACGGCCGCTTCAAGTTTTGGGCGGTGAAGGGCGGCCTGACTTCGCCGCTGGTGATTGAGGACCTGTACCCCGGGGTGGCTCTGAAGCCGGTCGACCCAGATTCAACAGGAAGTATGTTCTGGAGTATTGCCGATTTCCAGGTCAAGCCGGCCGAGGAGGGTAAGCGTATGGAGCTGTGGGTTTTGTGGAGGAATAGCAGTCTCTATCAGCTGTATACGCTGCACTTCAACTTTGAGTCTCTGCCCAAGGATTGGAATACCAATTGGGTATCCACCGTCATGGACAGCCGCTGGCAGGAGCCGCCACCCGTCATAGCCACTTCTGATGTTGTTGACCCAACGGAGAAATGGCTGGAATATTTGTTGAAGCCGAATAGGTTCTCGCCAGAGGTCCTCGAAACCGCTCTGGCAATCTATCAAGAGGCCCTCAAACCAATGTCGTCGTCCGGGTTTCTGAAGAAAACCCACAGCCTTGAGGAGCGGCTTTGTTCCACTATTGGTTCCCATGTATCTCTTCGAAAGCACGCCGATGATGAAATGGATTATACTCGCTATCGCATGGACACAGATTCCAAATGGCGCCAATTCTGGCAGATTGCGGATGATGTCAACAAACGGCGTTTCGAGCCGGTAGCCCTCGCGTATGACGTTTATTATGAGACACCCTGGATGCTTCTCTCGGACGGCTGCGCGATTATTCGTGAATGTAGCTCCGCGGAGCTTATTCTGCACAACTCTGGCGCCGAGCTTCGCTCAGATGGGCCGGTCATTGTTGATCGCTGGAGGCATCGCAAACTGGAGACAGAGATTGGCAGTCTATTCGAGCAGGCGTCCCATCTGATCACTGTTGCATCCGGTTTCCGCAAGGCGTTCTCCGCCGAGCTGGAAGCTGCTTGCCAGGAGGCCCTTGATGCCGAGATTTTCACTGAGCCCTCTACGTCTGTGCAAGACAGGATGGATACTTTTCGCGAGCGGTGTGATTTCGGAGAGCAGGTATCTAATAAAGCATATGATACTTTGGTCTCCGTGATGAGTGAGCACCTGAACATCTCCAGGATGCCTAACGACGTGTTCTACACCATCATTGATACTATTCCGCTCGACTTCCCCGGCAAAAACTCCGATCTCTTCCACACCCATTTTGGAATTAAGGTTATCGTCAATGGTGTCCAGGAGACCATTATACTGACGCGGAAGACCCTGGCTGACCTTCTCTTCCTCGTTCTGTTTGTGGACGGAGAGGTCGAGCAGGAGGCCGGCTCGGACTTCGATGCGGCGGATCTGTTCGTGACTCTTACTACTCTGCTGAGGGAGTATGAGATGATGTCCTGGTTAAGCTCGCATTCACGAAAGTGCACCGACCGACCGACCAAAACGCCGGGTGGCTCTTCTCCTGTGGCCCTCAAGGACTCTTCTCGTAAGGATAAGGGACAAAGAACGGCCACCATCCTCGAGGATTTGTTTGCCAGTGACATCAAGCCGCGCCAAACCATCGGACTTCCTCAAAGCTACACCATTACCCTGGGAATCCGTGATATTCTGTCATGGGTCACCCGCCAAGGGGAGGTTGCCTACCCCAATGCTTTGGTTTACATACAATGCGACCTCATCGCTAAGAACAACATTGACCTTGCTTGGGACTTTCTCCGGTTCCAAGCAAGCACGTCTTGGGCGACCTACGTCAAGGGTCGACTATATGTGGCCATGTCTGAATACGACACTGCGGCTTTGTACTTCCGCAAAGCTGCTTACCTACTTTGTAAGTCGAATCCGCCCAGAACTGATCTGGAATCCGCAGTAACTAACAGAACATAGCTTGTGGAAAGCCTCTAGGTAACTTGCACGAGATGTCGTCAACATTGCTGGACATTGTCGCGGTCGATTGCTTCCACAACGGCCTTCCCAAGTACTTCCAGCACATAGTGACGATTTTCGAACATGCACGCTCGTTCTCGCATGTCGCCGACTTTGCGAGCCTGGCGCTGCAGGCACTTGCAAGTGAGCACGGGAGCCAGCAGCATGATGTGGACTACTCTAGCCTGCGCTCAGATCTTCTCTCGCGCTTGTTCTATGCCTCATTGCAGAACTGCCAATTTGACCAGGCATACTCTGCTCTTTCCAGATACAAGGATCGAACTTTGCAGAAGTCCGCCCTGGGCTCTCTTATCACCGGCATTCTGACGGCCTCAGGGCCCGGCACGGCGGGTCTCCGGCAGATTCTCCACTTCCCCACGACTCTCATTCCTAACATCGCATCCTACGTGGACGAAACTTTGACTTCCCTTGCTCAAAAGCAGACCTCCTTCACCTCCTACCTTGAGTCGGACAACAAGTGGAGTGACGGCACTCCGGACTACCAACGCATCCTACAAGCGTACCGTATCGAAAGGGGTGATTACCGTGGCGCCGCTGAGATTGCCTACCGGAACGTGCAGCGCCTCCGCCACGCCCGCGACGTTTCCACGCATCTCATTCTCACCAGGGCAAGAGAAGCCGACGACAGTCACCCAATCGAAGAAGATGACCCAGAAAGCAAGGAAATCCGACATGAGCTCCTATCGCTCATTAACCTTCTTGCTTGCGTCGACAAGAGCGAATCGTACATCCTCGTGAACAAGGAGGACCCCCAACAGCCACTACCGTCATCTTTCGAGGCTAGACGCCGCAGCTTCCAGCACCATATGCAGCCAGACCACGAGGGCAACCAGCCCATGGATGACGCCGTCGCCGCCTCTCCTTCACCCAACCCCGCCCCCATGGGCGGGTTCCCCTCCGGGCGCCGTCTCAGCGCTAGCGCGACGGCAATCCGGCCCTCTAGCCGCCGCGACAGCAAGGCCTCCATCAGCAGTGCCGTCTTGAGCATCCCACAGAAGCGGGTAATAGTGACGCTGGATCACCTCCGTCGTGAATACCAGGCCGAATTAGACCGGGTCAGTCGGATCGAACGCGGTGATTGGGAGTTTGGGCTTCTTGATCCCGTTGGCGCTGAGGATGGCCACAACCACGACGAAGACACTACAATGGTGCTCGGGTAGAGTTGCCCATGTTGACTGGGGTCTGATTTTTTTTTCTTCGTGTTCTTTCAGAGATCCGGGTTCTGGGCGTCTGTGTATATCCTGTGTACAACTAGTTTTCAGTCTCTGTTAAAACTAGACTAGTAGCTGACTTGGGTTATTTTTTTTCGATGTGTGTGGATGTAGTGTAGTGAGGTATGCTTTGAGCTTACTTCTTGTCGCATGTCGACGTTCTATATTGAAGGAGAGCCTGGAGTAGAAGGTTTCCATGCTCTGATTGCAGGCTTGTTGCAGTGTAGCCGGCGGTGGGCAGCAACAAACCTTCGCATACTCAAACTATAGCCTATTCCATTCTCTGACCACAATCAATCCAGAATTCAGACACCATATCAGTTGACCACAAGCATAAGAACCACCCTCCAACAATCCAATCCAGTGCAACCCCCTCCCCAAGGCTAGATCGACCCCCGCAATGATACCGCCGCGTAGGAACCTGATCCCCGATTCCCCGATCGATCC